AACACCACATTTAGGTTACATGTCGCAGAGTAATCAAGATAGAACCTAACTGGTAACTCCCTTCCTACTCTCTAATGTTCACAGTGCCAGATGATGTCATGCAGGCTGCTGAGGTAGAAAATGCATCAACAACTTTATCCAGCTCTAAATTATTCGTGCTACAGTACTGATAAACCAGGCAAGTTACACTTATTAGTGCAATAGTGGTGGTATGAATGTTTTGAGATTAAAAACCTCAAAACAACTGATAGGTTTGGGGGGTACATACCACACTAGAGAACACACACAAGATGCCATCATCCCGATCAAATCCTGTGTCTGGGAAAGATGAGTATCCAAGTTGTGAACACACTACCATTATTCCCTAAATGAATATATTGTCAAACTGCCTTCTAAACATGTATGTTTTTACCCACAGGGTAGTGAAACTCTTAGCCTGGGAATATGAGTTTTTGTAGAGAATCATGGCTAATAAATAGATTTACATATGGTCAAAGTGCTGAGAATAAGTGACTGATAAGTCCTCAGGACATCTATGTAGTCTCCTATCCCTAAGACCTAGCAATTTCACAAGAGAGAGGATGGAATGATTTAAGAGACTGAAGATGAAGAAGAGTCAAGAAGCACTGACATCCAGATATGGTATTGTCATTGCTGCCATGAACATTGATCATATATGGATACCTGCACAAGAATGGGCCTTCTAACTTTCTGTTATGAATAGAGGAGGTTTCCATGAATTTGCATCCTTTCTTAAGAATCTAATGGATGGGAATGGCTATTGGAGAGGGAGTGTCCCTTTTGTCTAATAATGTAGTCACTGGGAGAATAAGTAGGAAGAATAAGGGAATAAGACAGGAAGGAAAGTGGATATAAGGGGTGGTAGGGAATGAATACACTCATAATACATTTTGTGTATAAGAGAAACCATTAAAAATTTTAAAGAATAAACACATGCAAAAAATGAGAATTAATAAAGCCAGATTATCCCTTACTAACCATACACAGACAGGTCATGTCATCTGAAACAATATTGACAATGCATGTTCACGATAGTAAATTAGCAATCCAATTTTAGATATTTTTATAGCATGTTAAAACAACAATCATGATAAAATTCTATTAGGAAAACCAGACTTTAAAAAACTTGAAAACTCTTATAGAATCTTATATAACCAGAGTTATAAATCAAATTTAATTCAAAAAATGATCAAACAAATGCTTAATAAAATTTTATGAGAGAACTTTAAGACTAATGATATTTTGTATCCTGATAATTCCTTTTGTTTTCTCTTGTTAAATTGTAGCTGGACAGTTTCTCTATAGCTCCTGCCAAGCCCCAGCAGTCCCACAGCCCACTAATAAAATAAACATACAGACGCTTATATTATTTAAACTGTTTGCCTAATGACTCAGGCTTCTAGCTAGCTGTTCTTATATCTTAAATTAACCCATTTCTTTAAATCTATACCTTGCCACATGGCTCATGGCTTACCAATATCTTACATGTTGGTACTCATGGGAGCGGCTGGCAGCGTCTCCTGACTCAGCCTTCCTGTTCCCAGAATAATCTTCTCTGCTTGTCCTGCGTATACTTCCTGCCTGGCTACTGGCCAATCAGTATTTTATTTATACAGAGCGATATCCACAGCATTAAATATTTTGATTACTTGAGATAATACAATTTCAAGAAAAAAATTATTGATATTTCATGTCATGTCACATAAACAGGTTTTATTTTTAGGCGAATGAAGCTGCAGCTACCAGTTATTAAAATAGTCTTTGTGATGTTGGGGATAGTATCTATGGCCTTATGCAAGGCAATCAGCAACCACTCCTCTGACTGAGCTGTATTCCCAACCCTGAAATATCTCCTCCTCCTTCTTGCTCTTCTTTTTCTTTAGCTTGACTCATTCTCATACATGGATGAAAGGTTGTGTCTTTTCTTTTTTTGTTGTTTAAAAAATTGAGAATCTCATTTATGATTATTCAAATGATACCATTTCTACCCATCCAACTCTTTCCATGCCCCACCTATGTTGTTCTCAAATTCATGGTCTCTTATTTATTTATGGACACACACACACACACACACACACACACACACACACACACACACACACACACACACAGAGTTCATATGAGTATGTTCTTAACACTGACCACTTGGGAATGGGTAATCTATTAGGAGACTTGTCACAGGAGATCAATTGCCAATCTCTCAGTAGCCATTAATTGCCTTTTTCTCTTCATCTAAGGGTGAGGCCTCATGAAAATTCTCCCATCCAAGTTGAGCTTTTGCAGAAAAAAAGATATCTTTCTAAACTGAGTGTTACCTAAAATAGATGATGACCATTTACACCTCAATTATCAAGTGAATTATTCATATAAAGTATAGACTTTAGAGTATTTTGATTTGATGGACAAACATGGCCCTCAACTATACTAGAACTTTCTTGCTTAAAGTTCATTTCATTTAAATTATTTCCAGGTCTTACTGCCTCATGGTTGTTCCATGTTATAAGGATCCTACAGTAAGCTAACATTAAATGATATGTTATTGTTGAAGATGGTATTCTCCTACGACTCTCTGAAACTTGAGGAGTAACAAAATGTAACAAAATTGATCTCCTATTGATTGCCGAACTGGCATGAAGGAAGAATCATTGTCTCATCAAATTCTCCAACTAGATCCACAGCTTTAAAGAACTATGGGCTTATGCTGTGGGTATGACTTGCAATTACTTTTCATCAGGAACATCTGCTTTACCTATTGAATGAAAAGTCTGTGTTTTTCCCCCATCCACACCTACAGCCCTTTGGGGAGTACAGGCTTGATGAACTGATGAGCTGCTTTGCACTCTGTGCTGAGTTAGGCTTCTGTTTCTCTGTACTTTTCCAATGTCTTATCATCCTATCTTTGATTTCTGATGCTCTTTCAAACTGTCTTATTAGAATACAGTCTATATTTGCAAATATAGAATTCTTGAAACTCATTCACACATATGCAGGAGATCCTAATCTGCCATTTCCATCTGTTCCAATATTGATTGCTAAAGTCAGTGACAGTTGACACATTTTATTTCACAAGAAAACATGATATGCCAGTTACCAAACAGCCAAAAAATGCTTGTGCTTATAATGTATGAAGTTAATTACATGGTTAATATTGAAGGCAAAAATACAAGGTAGGTTCTTGTACAGAAAGGGGATGCCCATGACTGGAAAAGGGATTAAGGAGCACAGATACAGGGCTGCCAAGGAATAGAACTTTCAGGCACAAATCTACCTGGCAGGCAGTTTTGAGTGTCAGCTTGGAGCATCATTTTGAAGTGGACCATGTATCCTGGTTAGGAGAAACTATGCTTGACTTGAGATCCAGGAACAGTCAGAAGTTAGTCCTCAGGTGATCTTCCTGAAAGAGTTCCCTAACAAATGACTGATGAGTCACATGCTATGAAATCTATGGGGGCCAGTTCTTCTTTAATAGTCTTAAGTGAGGGAATTATACTGGGATATTGATCAGTTCACAATATGGCATTTCAGAGATGACTTGAAATATTCAGAGGCAGAATTGTTATTGATGTGATTGAATTACTCTTGTGGCATACTGGCAGATTATGGTTATAATTTTTATATAAAATGCAGTAGAATCTACAGATGGGCCAACATGAGATTAAAAAAGTTTATGTACAGCAAACAAAAGAGAACAAAACAAAGGAAAAACCTACTAACAGATTAAAAAAAATCTCGCAGAACAGGAGAAAGTATTTATCAGCTATACTTCAGACAGTGGTCTAATACTCATAATTTATAAATAATATAAATAATTAAACACCAAGGAAACAAAATGAACAAATGGGCTAATAAAACAGATAGTTCTTACAGTAAGAAACACGATGGAATATAGGCAAAAGACACCAGAATCATAAAAGAATATGTAAAGATATTTCCCCCTAATTTCAATTACATTATAGTCATCACACCATTTTTTTTCTCATGGTGCTCATTTCTTCAGCCACTAGTTTTATAAGCCCTAATTTTAAGCTTGCTTCTTTCCTCACCAAACGGAAAGCTTTTGCATCCTGTTCTGCTTTTTGTTCCTGAATCTCACTCTATATCTGACTGAAAGCAGTCACAAAGACCTATAATACCACCTGAGTGCTGAGCTGCACTGAAATTTTTACTATCACGTTAATTAGTTTCTTGTCTTCAAATTCAGCCTTCCACAATTTTTCATATGTAACCTTATATGTAAAATAGGGCCCTGTAGTAATGTGAATGTGATTTTCTATTTTTTAAATTTTCAATGCTAATTGTATGTATGATTTAGTACCCCAAGATTCTATGATACTATTTTTGTCCAGGTCTCCTTCCAGGTTATGAGAAAAAAATGCTTCTTTTTGTCTGTTTTCTTGGAGGGAATGTGTTCTTTGAAAACTTTTTCTGCTTTATTGCTTACATTCATGTAACTACCTAGCTGTCTCATATTTTCCTAGGCTTATGATATGCATCACTTATTGTGGTATAGATTTTGTGTATTTTTTGTTATAGTCTACAATTTTGGATTGTTATGTAGTTCATCAGAGATGTGTTTGGTTAATTTAGTATTCTAAGGTTAATTATTTTCTGGATGTGGGAGGTCCTAATTTGAAAGTTATTTTGTCATTAATGTTATTTTATATGATTGGGACATAATGACATAATGATGATCATTATAATGGTGGTAATATATAATTAGCCTATTCTGTAAATTAAAAATTGCATTCATGAATGAGAATTTTATATATCCTGTATCTATGTATTAGTAAAATTCATTATCTTATTTGTTGTTGTTTTTTGGGTGTAACCTTTGCATAGTCTAGTCATCAGGCTAATTCAAATAATTGCTTAGTATATTATAACTCTTAATATATTATAATCCAATTTACATTGAAATTATATTAGATCTGATATTTTATTTTCTTATTTATTGCAGTTTTGTATATTTCTTTTGCTAGGTACTTTTTCCTGAGACTGAGACTCTTTGCTGTGTAGGCAGGAAAGATAGTGTGTGCCTCCCAGGATCTCTTAAGTTTCAGCTGTTGATCTCCATGTCAGAGGTGTGCTACCTCTCGTTACAGAAAACAGGTATAACTGTAAAAAGGATAATCTTGCCATGTAGTGTAAATACATTTTATATACATCACTGAGTTGGTTAACTTGTCTGTGATAAAGTCATATAACTTCAAATATTATGCCAGTGGTCAGTTTATTTATTCTATTCTTTCTTTAATGAATCAAATCCTATGAACTCTACCAATTGCCAGGAAGGAGTATATTAACTTAAATGAACATGTTTGCATAATTTGTATCACCATTTATTGAATAAAAGCTATTCCTATCTCAACTTCAGCAACTTTAGTCTCTCTGAACAAATGAGTTGCTTCATAACAAGTACTACAGCAATCACAACTTCTAAGTTATTCAAATTTAATCACCAAAGCCAGTAACACTCCGATTTCACATTATACTTTGTATAATAGTACATACATGACCTGTATCATATGTATATAACATATATACTATAGAACATCAAAGAACATGTTTGAAGAAGCCAAGGAATATACAGTTGATACTGAAGTCACATGTAGAGAGGAGTTGGTGGAATAGAATGTCGGTGATTGTCAGAAGGTAAGACATAAATTCAGCCACAAAGATGCTAAGGCACAAAGCAATCAGGCACAGGTTCATGTGACAGGCAGTTTGGAGTGTCACCCTGAAGCTGACCATGTACCATTGACAGGAGAAACCATGTTTGAGCTGAAGCCTGGAGAAAGCAAGAAGTTCTTTCTCAGGTGCTTTTGTCAGGAGAATCCCCTAAGAAGTGTCAGAGTGATGGTTTGAATGCTACAGCATCATCATCTAGCACTACTATTTCCTTTATAATCTCATGTAGGGAAGTTATGTTGATCAGCACATGTTCCTAGTGTTCCTGATATCATTTTGAATTATTGCAAATAGAATTTTTAATCATTATGAATAAATAGTCAGTCTGTCTTTTCATGCACTGGTAGGTAGGTAGCTGGTGGCTGATTACTTGTTTAAACATGATACAGAGTTACTCTACTTTGACCGCTGTGCTCATAATGGAATAACTCATGAAAAACTACTGCCCCACAAAGTAGAAAATTCAGGGTAGTACACAACCCCAAACCTGCCATTCTATTCAGTGTTGACTAGTGCAGATCAAAGCACAGTCTGTTCTCTACAATCTGCCCCATGACTCGGGACAGAAGAAGTGCAATGACTCTGTGGCCAGAACAAACACATTGTTCTTTCTACATGATGCATTATGGAGATTACCGGGGAAAGCTGTATGGAAGCAGAACCCTAATAGAATGGCCAAAAATAAGAACAATGTTTTTCCTAGGTGACAATAAATTGAGCTGCTCAGGTTAGAGCGGCCACTCTTGATCCAGATCAGCAGATTCCAACTGCGCTGGAAGGCTGCACATGGTATGTGTTCTTTGAAGGGCATGCTAGTCTGAGTACGGATTTTGTTAGTGTCTTCATGTTAGGCTGTCAGTGCAACTGAGTTTGTGTTTCATGTTATGGCTGCATGTTTGTGAAATCCATAGAACTGTTTGTTTATTGTGAAAGGTATTGGGTGCTATTTTGAGTGGAATTAAATGATATTCAGTAATTATTTGGCTAGACATGAAAATACCTAAACATATGCTCATATCTGGGTATCCATATCAATTCACAAAGCAGTTAGTTAAGGATAATGTAACATGAACAGTCACATAAGATATAAAATTAAATTTATAAATTCTCAGCAATCTCTATCTATCTATCTATCTATATCTATCTATCTATCTATCTATCTATCTATCTATCTATCTATCTATCTATCTATCTGTTGATATCACCAGTAAACTAGAAACCTGTAATATGATTAAAACTATGTCACGGGGACTGGAGTGATACCTCAGCAGTAAAGAGCACTGGCTGCTCTTCCCAAGGACCTGGGTTTAATTCCCAACACCCACATGGCAGTTCACAACTGCCTGTAACTCCAGTTCCAGGGGATCTGGCACCCTTACACAGACATACATGTAGGCAAACACCAATGTACATCAAATAAATAAAGAAACAAATCTTTAAAACAAAACCAATGTCACAAATTAATTAAAACAGACACAGGAATTTTCAGTAAAATAATGTTAGGTGCATGATTTGGTGTTTCCTTCTCTTCTTTATGGTGCTTTGTGCTTTGTCTATTTCCTTTACTAGCTAGTTTCTCATGAGAATAAGACCCTTCCCTTTGTTAGTGGTATGACTTCCATTCTCATTAATTTTTCATCTGTGTTGATTGAAGTTATGCCTCTTTCCAGCCCTGTGATCAAGTATAACATAGAAGGATGTAACAGCACAAGGCAGGCATTGGCTTAACAGAATTAATTTTTAGTTTCTGATGACAAATCTCAACAGGGATTTGTTCATATCATCAAATGGTTTAATTTTTTTTGGAAAATCATATCACTTCAAATATTTTGCACTAGTGATTTTATTTGTTGAATTTTAGTGAAATCATGATAACTACTACAGTTCTCATTAGTAAAATATGCCAGGAGTGTAATCACGTACATTTGACCTTATATCTATGTCAGAATTTACAAGTTATTTCTTTCATCAGCTTTAAGCCACCAAGTACTTTTGAGTTAGCTTGGTAAACATGACTATGGCAATCATAATTCTAGATTCCCTTCAAATTTCAATTGCTAAATCAATAACATTCCGTACATTATACTTCACACAATGACGTATGGATTACAGACCAGCAAGTAAATAAATGAAGAGGCCATGGGATGTAAACAGTCAATACTGAAAGCAAACTCAGAGAGCAAATACTGGTGTAGAAGGTTGATACTGCTGGCTGAATAAATGATCAGGAAACCCATCAGAGCGCTGCCAAGACACAGAAAAATTATGCATTGGCCCACATGGCAGGCAGTTTCAGTGTCATTTTGATGGGCCACCTTGAAGTGGACCATGCAGAGTTGGAAGAAGAAAGCACGCTTAAACTGAAATATGAGGACAGTGGGAAATCCTCTTGTTGATACACCCCAGTAATTCCCTGACAAATGACTGAGTGGTGGGCAGGCAGTTGTGCCATTGTCTTGGAGTGCCTCTGTTTCTAGTCTTTAGTTATGGGAGAGAGAACTGGTGTAATAGACGGAGTTCATGTGTCTGATCGTTCTTGTAGTTTTGAAATGTCTATGGGTGGAACTTTTTATTGGCACTAATAAATTATTTACCAGTTGTGGCCTGTGGTGTGCTGGCAGGTGGGTGTTTACTTGTATAAATAGAGCATTCTACTTTGGAACTTACAGTCAAAATGCAATACCTCATGGCAAACTTCTGTTTATAAGATCGATTCACTCAGGCAAAGCAGAGCCAGAATGTTACTATTCTGTACAACAGAGTGGATTGCAAAGCATGGCAAGGCTTTTCTCCATATATATTTAAAGAGATTCCACAAAACCCAGCTTTGATAGTAAAAAGTAAAAAATGGACACATGGAAGTCAGCTTAACAAAAGTTTTAATATCAATGTTAACTTTTATATATTATCTTTAAGGTACAAAAAGTGGGAAGAAACTACCCAAAACAAAGCCCTAAGGAGTAAAACATAGTTTAACATTGCAATTCTTATGGCTTACATTTCTGATGACTATAGCACACTGTACACTAAGGGAATAAACAAAATTTTAAAATTCATTAATTTTTTTATGTATGAGTGTATGCCCAAGTGTATGTATGTGCACTATGTATGTGCTAGAGTCAATGATGTTCGGAAAATGGCATTAGATTCCCTGAAATTGGAGTCACAGGCAAATGTGAACTGTCGTGTTCCAAGAAACATACAAATAAAAATTCATGCACTTGACACTTGTAAAGGCATCTGGTTATAATCACAAAATATTTTAAAGTAGTAAATACTGAAAATATTTTTACACCAAATAATTTTAACATACAGCAGATGTCTTCAGAATACCTTCAAGGGGCTGAAAGAAAATTATTTCTATAATTCTATTTATGTAATAATTGTAATAATAAAAGTAAAAAACAGTCAGTTCTAGACCACCAAGTAACAGAATTTGTCTGAGGAGATAGTCACCAAAAAAAATTATAAAGAAACTATTTTGGATGTCCAGAGTAATCCTAGATAGAGTTTCTGAGCTATCCGATTCATAAGTAGAAAGTGAGGTGGCAAGGATATGGGCTAACCTACACTATTTTTCCCCACTTCAGAAGATAATGTCTTCCAGGTTTAATGCGAGGGTGACGTAAGGATGAGCACGGAGACTATAAACTTAGAAGAAATGTTCATTTGTCCTAATGTCACTGGACGTTCTCTGGCAACCAGCTTTGATGTTTCTTTGAGCTTTGACAAGCTGCATGATGTAATTGCCAGTAACAGATTAGAAACAGAGTACATAATTTCTACTGTAGCAAAAAGGAAATTATATCATAAAAACAATGTTTAAGTAGGTAAGACATTAAGAAGAAAAATTAACCATTCAGTAAGAACGTGTATTTAAATGCAAATATGTATTAGTGCTTTAACCCAATATAAGAAAATTGTTTCTGTTAAAAGCACAAGCATTTTCAGGTGTGATAAAAATTGATAAAAGTAGTTGATAAAAATAAAAGGCTATAACAAACATTACCCATGCAAATTGTGTCAACCAAACCAAACCAAACAAACAGACAAACAACAACAACAACAACAAAAACCCAGTGAATATAACTATGAAACCCAGTGAGTTTTTACAAAATTAAGTAGAGGCCACATTAATGGCCAAGGTAAATCTTTTATATATCAAACTATTTTACTGGGACTGAAACTCATCAATTTCAAAATCTTTGAACCAATTTTATGTTAAAAAAAGATCAAGGTTGGGGCGGGGGTGAAATTAGGAATATTAAGGAATGCACAATCAAATTGGGAGATATTTAAAGTACTAACACAAATAATTATGAAGGACCAAATGGACATATCCACAGATTTACATATCCTTTGCACAGTCGTCTGCGTGTGAGGTCAGAAAGTGAGTCTTCTAAAGAATGTGAACAGCACAGTGTTCTACTGTCAGCAGGCCTAGATCCCGTGGGAAACACGGCTTCTTGTATGTAGCCAATCTCTGATACAATGGACGCTTACTGCTCGAGCCTTCCCTGTTAGAAGAAAGGTCCTCATGAACACGTGGGCAGCTTTCTCTGTGCGCACAGGTGAGCCACTCTGTAGCACAGATAAATACAAGGAGAATTTACAGTATATTTGGAATAATAATGTACAAAAACTCCTCTAAAAATGTAGTATTTTGTATTTTCTTTTTTCATTATAGGGCAGTGTAGGATCATTTTCCACACTCTAACAGAAAATTGATGTTATTGTGTCTCTAATTTTTGCCTTTCTGGCTGAAAAAAAATATTTTCAGCTACACTGTGCTTCTTTGACCACCTTTCCCGTGGAAAAGATCTGCTCGTTTTGTATCAAATTTCTCTCTACTTTCCCGTTTATTTAGTACCTAGAGCTCTTATGTCTTCATTATTTTATATGTTGTTAATTTTTTCTTCTCTTCTATTGCTCATTTTTCAGTGTTTATTCTGATAGAAGTTTAGGTAAGTATAGGTTAGTAATTAGGGTCATACCATAGATATCCTAGAATTATTTTTGCAACGTTTTACTTTGTCACATTGTTGCTAATTTAAAGTTTTTCTATTTAAGCATATGCACTTGTCTATTTTTACTTCTCATCTTCCATAGATGTTAAATAAGAATGGATGCATGTGACCTTAATAACAAAAACAAAAAATTAAGAAGGAACAATGTATTAATGATAGTTTTATCAATGAGGAAAGTCTTTCTGTAACCTTTTTGAAACTTGGGCTAGAGATATATCTCAATGCTAGAGTGCTTTGCTTGCAAACAAAAGGTCGCAGATTTATCTTCAAGACAACAGTAAAAGGGGGTTGATAAATATTGAAAATTATATTGGTTTTCTATAACAGTCTGAAAATCACTGAATTAAATTATTCCAAAGTTTTCTTTCATTGTTAATATTTTACAACACTTTGATTTAATACACTTTTGGCATCATATTTCCCAGGAGAAATGAATGCCATTAGAACATGTTGTGAATTAAATTGAGCACTGAAGCCGGGCGGTGGTGGCACACACCTTTAATCCCAGAATTTGGGAGGCAGAGGCAGGCAGATCTACTTGAGTTCGAGGCCAGCCTGGGCTACAGAGTGAGTTCCAGGAAAAGGAACAAAGCTATACAGAGGAACTCTGTCTCGAAAAACCAAAAATAAATAAATAAGTAAATAGAGCATTGAAATCAAATGTCTTTACTAATTAGTAGAGAAGATATGTTTTAGTTTAAAAAAAAAACAAAAAAAACAAAAAAACAAAAAACCCTGAAAATTTCAAACATCAACAAGGGGATTCTTAGAAGTCTCTTTGTCGTGAAAAGAAAGAAAAGATATGAAAAAGAAAAGTTCATTTTGAGATGTGCAGTTTAGGAGGCCTTTAAGTAAAACATTTTTTTTTGGTGCCTACTACCTATGGTAGGACACCTCTCATAGCCTAGAGGCAGGGGAAGAGGCTTGGACCTGCCTCTGCTGAATGTACCAGGCTCTGTTGACTCTCCATGGGAGGCCTTACCTTCTTGTAGGAGGGAATGGGGGATGGGTTAAGTGGGGAAGGCTGGAGGGGCGGGAGGAGGGAAGAGGAGGATCTTTGATTGGTATGTAAAATGAATAAAAAATTTCTTAATAAAAAAACACAGCAAGGGAAACACCACTGACTTTTTGTATTGGGTGAGTTAAATTTACTTTCTGAAAAATTTTTCTGAGATAGATTTTACTCATGTTAATTTCTCAAGGCTCTAGTTACTATATCATTGTGTATTTAAGAAAAAATAATTCAAGAGTTAGAAAAACAAAAAAAAAACATTTTTTCACAGTTATTTGTCAACATCACATATTCGTTCTCAGCTGTGAATATACTTAGATAAATGGAAAAGCATCAAATCCTTTCTTCATAATAATTTATTTTCTCTGTGTAAGATTAAAGAGTAATGTAACAGAGACAAGTAATCTCATTTTGAGCGAACATTTAAAAAATAAGACAATTGAGTATAATGTTCACTGTTATTACATTAATTTTTTCTATATTCCAAGATATTTTCAACAAAAAAATGATTTGATTTTTAAAAATAGCAAATAGTAAGGGACAAGGTAGGAGGAGGGGACTCACTGTGCGGCTGGACTGCTTGGCTTAGAATTATGACTGCAGTATTTCCTGTTATATGATTTTGAACCAATCTTGCCATTTACTTGGTCCATAACTTTCTTTTCTCATTCTAAATGTAAAGATGATTACAGTTCCATCTTTCAAGTGTATGATGAAACAGGTCACAAAACATTAAGTGTTTGTTCTTTTTCTTTTCTTAAATCACAGTTAACAATAGTTTTATTATTTGATATATGGGCACATCATGAATTCTATGAATTTAATATTTTGTTTAAGTATCACATTGTGGGTGACAACTTCAGACTTAACGATAGATGTTTGATTCAGTGAATATGTTCCCACTGTGCTCTCATTTATGTTATTGATTCAGTTTGGCTCAGTGACAAACTAATGTGATCTTTAAAATTGTCTTACTGGACTTTTACCCTGGCATTTCATATAAATCATAAGAGGAAAAGCTGAAAGTAGAAGGAAATGTTGCATATTGAAAAAGCAAGCTGATGAGCTGTGTTGTAACAGAAGAGGGGGCAAAGCAGCAACCGAGGGCAGGCAGCAGCCTTTCAAGGGCACCAGGGTGGTGTTGCCCAGTCCACTGTCAGTCACCGTAGAGATCAGATACAATGCTGGCAGAAATCCTATTTGGAGAATTATATAAGGTTTTCAAGAGTGAATATTGAAAAGATGAGATTATAGAAAATTATAAAATTCTGAATCTGACCTTTTTTTCAACTGAAAAGAAATTGAAACCAAAACCGTGAGATTCCTGTTATTTTACAATTGACAAACACTTAGCTGTAGGTTTGGATGATTGCTGATTTATAGAAGTGACTCTGGTAAGTTATTCTAAAAATACATACATTTTTTACTCTCCTCCTTTTTGCACTTAAATAAGAGGTGTGTGTGTGTGTGTGTGTGTGTGTGTGTGTGTGTGTGTTTAAATGGTTTCATGATCCTTTTCAGGCTTAAGGGTTTCACAGCCTTTTTTTAGGTTTGTTGACAGATCGTGTTTGCTTGCCCAGAAGCACAGAATGTACTATTTGTGTTGGAAACACTACTGAGCCTTGGCGCAAAACTTATCTTTAATTTCAGAGATCTGGTGTGCAAACTTGATAAACTCTAGTCTTCATATGTGACTTACGTTAAGTGTAAGTTCATATATTTTTCTGGTGGGAGATATTCCTGGGTAAATGCTCACTGATTTGAGACAGAATGCAAGGTACAATTCAGAGGAATTATGAATTATTTAAGTAAAGCAACCATAACTTGAATACTCTTTATGTAATGTTTCTTAGTAACAATTTAGAATGTTAAAAACTGTAAAAATAAAACATGGACACTTTCAACACTTAGAGATAGTGTTACTACAGATATAGATGATAAAATTGCATGTGAAGATGAAAGAAACTCTAATGTTTTAATGACACTATACATAATCATTCACCATAAAGATACTTAACTATGAGTCTTCTAGGCTACTAATTACTAATGGCAAGAGTAGATAACCTGCTTCTTATTGATCATTGTTAATTCGTTTTTATAATGTCTTAGTGTGCCATCAATTTTGGGCAGAATCCAAAAAAAAATTTTGTAAATAATTAGTATTTACATATGCAAACATGGATATATAGAGATACAAATACAAATTAGAGTTTACTACTACCTTTTTCTTAACATTTAGATCAAGTTTCTTCAAATTATTTGACTTTGGTGTCCATAAGTAGAATGAAGTTAAATGCCTAAATTTATGATAGCTGATGCATTAAGAGGAATCTTGAATTTAAAATAGTCTTACCTCTTTAATATTTATACTGATGTAATAAGACCTATTTTAGAACATTGATTAGAAAATGCTGTTGGTAATATTATGTTTAATTTTTAGTTAGATTTCTTAATGTTAGTTAAGATTTTTAATTTTTCTTCTTATATATTTTAATTTGCATTTTGCATAATTGTGAAATAATATGTGTAGATTTCTTAATGTTAGTTATTAATATTTTTTTGATCTTGAACTTTTTAAAAAAATTTATGATTAATTTAATTTTACATATCAGCCACGTATTCCCCTGTCCTCCCTCCTCTCACCCCCCTCCCCCCAATGCACTCCCCTGTTGCTAGAGTTTTCCTGCCTGGCCCACAGTCAGGACAAATCTCTGTCACCCGCCAGTCCCACAGACGCTCAGACCCGACCAAGTAAACACAGAGACTTATATTGCTTACAAACTGTATGGCCGTGGCAGGCTTCTTGCTAACTGTTCTTACAGCTTAAATTAATCCATTTCCATTAATCTATACCTTGCCACGTGGCTCGTGGCTTACCGGCATCTTCACCTGCTGTTTCTCATCGTGGCGGCTGGCAGTGTCTCTCAGACTCAGCCTTCCACTTCCCAGCTTTATTCTCCTCCTTGTCCCGCCTACACTTCCTGCCTAGCCAATGGCCAATCAGTGTTTTATTTATTGACTAATTAGCAACACATTTGCCATACAGAACATCCCACAGCACTTCCCCCATTTTTTTTTTTCAAAAAGGAAGGTTTTAACCTTAACAAAATAAAATTACATATAATTTGGGAATTTGGGCGTAGCTTCTCTTACTACTTCCTGCTGGAGGGGGGCGCTGTATCTTCTGGGGAAACAAAGAAAATTTTAGGATCATGGAGTAGTCCGTGAGGCTGTATCATCTGAGCCAGTTGCCTTCAAACCATTCTGGATGTTGGATCATCTGGGCCATGGTGTCATTGGAGACCTTTCAGGGGGTCTTGACTGGTCAAACCTGATGTATCTTAATCTGGAACAAATCCATAGCCTCTGGCTTTCTGTGGGAACAAAAGCAGAGTCTCCTTTCCAAAGCAACATATCCTTATATTCAAATTTTGAAGTCAAGGTACCTTTAAAATATACATTTTGGCATAACTCAACAGCTTTTACAATGAAATGTTTTTCTGCAGTTAAAAGTCCCAAAGACAACACAATGC